TTTAGCAATATGCTCCTCATGAAGAGCGTCGTTCTTGAATCTTTTGCCGCATCTGCTACATTTGAACGGCTTGTCCCCGCAATGGAAACTCTTATTGTGCTGAGTCAGGTAGCAAGCCTTGTTGAATTGCTTGTCACAGGCATCGCAACGATGTATTACGGGCTTCTTATCAGGTTCAGAAGATGTGACAACAAGCTGTTGCGGCGACGGCGTCGATGGTTCCTGATCCGGTATTGCTGGACTAAACGGCGGATGCTGCAGAGGGTCTACAAAGTCGTAGTCCATATGCTGGTTGTATTGATGTTGTAGTGGTGTTGGAGCCGCAACTGGATCTCTCAAAGCCACCACAGACCCATTAGTATCACCAATAATATGGTGAGAGTTCGTGATGCGGTTGCCTGGCGGGATAACCAGGAATAGCGGTGTGTTGGTGGTGGATTGGCCCTGGTCCGCCGACTGCAGATTGGAAGTGACTTGCTGATCCAGGTCCTCCGCCATGTCCGTAATATCCGGCGTAATGGTGTGTGGGGATCGGCGCGGTTGGCGGTACCAGATGGGCGAGCGCGCTGACTGGCCCAGGAGCAGGTCCTGATCCTGTGGCACCAGGCCCGGCTGCTGCGGCATGTGGCGTACTGATTGTTCCTCCATTATGTTGGTTGTGTTGACTGTTAACGAGTTGTGAATCTGCAGGCCCCTCGGAAGTGGGAGGAGGTTGTGGACGGAGGGACCTGCTTGCCCGTTTGGGGGACTCCCAGACAGATGATTTGTTGTTGAGGTGGTATTGTTCTCGATCTGCTGGTGATGCATGTCACCACCTGGCGGAGGCTGTCCTGTATCCGGCGGTATTCCCGGGAACGTAAAAGAACCGTACGAATGAGGTAGAATGTAACTTCCTGGATTTGATGGTTGCTGCGATTGTGGTGGAAAAGCTTGAGGTTCTGGACTCCTCTGTTGTTGCGATTGTAACCTTCTAGACGGACTTGATCCACCTTTGTGATGTGTTGGGTGATTAGGATCACGGCCCGGGTGGTGATGAGCACTGATAGGTAGATTTGCGGGATCCGGCTGGCCACTGCTTTTAACAGCATTTTTGTGCAATGTCGTATTATAATGACGTTTCAAATGCCCTGAACTTGTAAACCACTTGTTGCACGCAGTACAATTATATGTTTTTGGTCGACGAGCCTCATTACTTTTCCATCCAGGTCCCTTAGCACCAGGCGCAACTATGGGATGAGAACTTGTAATTTGTGGTACGGTACCGGCCGGTCGAAAACCGCCGACGCCGTTATCATGTTGCTGTGGCGTTGTTGTTGTAGGAAAATCCGGCGGGCTTACCATATGTGGTGGATGAGACGCCTGTTGCATACCCGGCTGCATAGCATGTTCGGATGGTGTTCGAAATAATTTAATATCTTGTGAAGCGGATTGCGGTGGAAATGCAGCCTGGTGATATAACTGATGTGACTGCGGCGGTTGCGCATCTTGCCAATGTGGTTGCATACCTTGCAGTCCTTGTAGTGATGGTAAAACAGCTGGGTATACAACTTTGTGTGAATCCAGATCTAAAATTTCACTCGAACTGTCTTTGGTTGATGTCGTATTGGTATTCGGCATTGGCGGATATTGAAACGAATCCGAATGCGAGAGTGCGTGCTCTTGCAGTTGAGCGGCGGTATCGCACACCATACCGCATTTATCACATTGCACTGGGGAAGGCGACGGTATGCAAACGCCACCGGGCGCAGAGCCGGAAGGACTAGATGAGCTCACTCGCGGACTATGCTGATACGGTTGATAGCGCGACGAAACCTGTTGCTGCTGCTGATGCATTTGTTGCGCACTATGTTTGCCCATGAAATCTTGGTTCATATAAGGATTTTCTAAACCGTAATACACATCGTACCCGTAGTTTGGAGAATATTGTTGATGCGGTGGCATATCGTAAGGCGTATGATATGACGTAACCACGTGTTGTTGTTGATGTTGTTGTTGCTGTTGCTGAGAATTTTGTTGCGGCTGTTGTTGAGGTTCAATTTTGGGTACTAATCCCGGTTCTTGTTTCACGTTCACCATTTGATTATCACTAGAGTCTGCCGCGGCTATCACATTCGAAACTTTTTTAGGCGCGTGATTATTATTATCCGGATCTGTCGGAGACCCGGAATTCGAGGGCGGCGGACCCCACGAAGCGCGCGACATCATCGGATCGTGATGATAATGCAAATGAACTTGCAACGAAGCGGCCGAATCAAACATCAGTCCACAATCCGAACAATGATGGTGCGTTGTTGCGGATTGTTGTGTACCGCCACCACCGCCTGCGGCCGGTGTGGCGGACATCGTCTATTAAACACGAGCCACGAACGATCAACACATCACTATTTAACATTAACCACAGCACACGTGTATTACAATAAAATCGATTTACGATAAAAGTCTGTTGTAATTAAAATAAAATACGACTTGGTATTTCAAAAATGAATGCACACGAACAAAAACGAATTTAAAATTAAAACCGGAACGCACACTGCTCTTGTTATAATCTCTGCGCAAAATACGTAGTCACTGCTAGCCGGCCGGTGTACAACTGATTCGCTCACGAGGATTTTGGCGCGCTCGTCCTTTGCAGGAGGAAGGGGTCGCAGCATGCAAGAACGAGAGATCTGCGTTGACCAATGGCAACGGCGTTCTTCGGGGTCGGACGTACGCCACGGTGCGAGAGGGACCGACTACGCTTTCGTTTACGTGCGCTCGGTGAATCTATGCGGACCAGAGGACGCTATGAACATGAACTACGAAGATATGTGCGTTCGCTCTGCGTACCGCTCCGTTCGACCGGTTGAGCCTCAGCCTCAGCCTCACCGCCCTGCGAGGCTACGAGACGTATGCGTATGGTGATTTGTAGATGTATGTTTTGCACGAGTACCGTCGCGACGCAAAAATTTTCTATTTTAATTTAATTTAATTAATAACTCGTTATAATTTTGCACTTGTTTATGCACAACCAAAATTATAATAAATTCAATAAATTTGTTGTTAAAAATGATACGTTATTAATAAAAATTAATGTTTTGTTACTATAGTTTAAAATAAAATCTAAATACAAATCGATTTAATAATCGAAATAATTTTCGAAATGTATGATGCAATTTATTATTAGTTTTAACAGTTGAAAAAAAATTATTTAGTGGTTTGCGATAACGATAGTATTCATATTAAACCACACTCAAAACTTTTATAGAAAATACTGTGTTATAGATTAATAATAAATTAATTTGTATACTCTTAAGATCTGAATTGTAGAGTAGATGTATTTTTTGCACGAGCACCGGTGAAACTCAAAATTTTCTATTTTCTACTTCAGTTTGGTTTAATAACTCATAATTTTTAAAATTATAATAAATTCAATAAATTTGTTTGTTGTTAAATATATTAAAATTATAATAAATTAATAATAAATTAATTTTTCTAAATAAAAATAGAAAATAAAAATCTAAATACAAATCAAGCTAGCAATTTTAATTTTTAGAATGTATAATAAAATTTATCTATTATAAAAACAAAAATTTAATCTATTATTTAAACAAAAATTTAGTTACTAAAAAAAATTAATTTTGAAATTTTAAGTGACTTCCCAAAGGAGAAGTTTATATTTATATTATAATTTTTTAAATGTTTACATGTAATTTTTCATTTCCTGTTGGTACAGCACTACAAAATTATTAAATTTACCTGTGCCTCAGGTAACACAAATTATTCTAAAAATGAATGATACTTTTGATTTCAACTACTAACAGGTGAGTTATTGTATTGTAAATAAAAGGCAACACAGTCGTACCCAAATCCCATTTGAAATTAGAGATTGTTATAAAGTCATTTTTTCTATTATTGTATTATACCTGTGTGATTATAATTGAACATTAAATATAAAACTATTAATCTGAATAACAATAACTCAAAAAACTTAAGATATTTTTAGTTTATAAAAATGATGAAGATTATGGATAGAAAGCATATGATGTATGTATTCAATTTGTGATCGAGCTGTAGAATGTTATATAATGCAAATTTATTGTATGAATCATTTTGTCCAGCGTACAGAAAATATTCGAATCTAAATACTTACATAAAATCATTTTGTTAAATATTAATTTTACTGAACAATATCAATAATCAATAGCAAAATTTTCACATAGGCCATGGTAAGTTAATTAGATAATTTTAAATTATCTAATAAATAGCCTACGTAAAATTTTATCCGATATAAATACAATAAAATATTTGTATCAATGCTTCATACATTTTTTTTAAAGAACTATTTTGAAAATATGAATTGTTGATACTTTTAAACATACAAATATTAGTTGCATTATAAAAACTAGTACAAATCCATAAAATAATATACTTTAGCTTTATTAGTTCACAAATTAAATATTTAATTTAAGAAATAACAATTTCAGCAAGGTTCATATGAGAATGAAAATAAATTGAACATAAAAATTTAAAAAATTCGCGTACGTGGGAAATAAATTTTGCAATTAGAATTTATGGAATGTTTGGAAGTGAATTTTAATCAAATCAATTACGCAATCAGTTTAGATTGCTAAACTGTTTAAAAAATTAACACGTTAATCATCATCATCGTCACAATATCAGAAACAATTTCTCATGGGTCATAGTAACTTTATTAGATAATTTAGTTAAAGATGTATCATGGAAACTTAATGAATCAGAAAAATTGTCAAAATTATTGGAACAACTATTTTTTGTCACACATAATATGACTGAAATGGCGCTATAGTGTAGAACCTTGATTATACGGAACTTAGTTATACGGATTTGCGATTATCCGGATTACCAACTGCGACCAATTTATAATTATGTACATATCTACACATATCTATGATTCGAATTTCTGTATGATTAATGGTGCAATTTAATATATGTATGTAATGAAATCGAAGAAAATATGTATGTACATACATAATGAAGTGTTAATTTCTTATTGATATGATAAATGAGTTGATATGTTAAATTGTGATTTTCGATTATACTAATGCCGATCGACAACTATTAGTCCGGTTAATCGACGTTCTACTATATTAATATATGGCTCATGTAGAACTTCTTATGGTCAGACATATATGACTGACATTGCGAATGAAGTATTAACTGCAACTAATATATGTTTCTATTTTAATCCATTAACAATATCATAGTTATCATCGTTTCACCAGTGCCTACATAATAAACACCTTTTATGAATAGAATGTTTGGCCCAAAGTTGCGCAAGTCGAAACAGATGAGAAGACACCGTGAGTAAAGAAACGAATTAAATTAATTCACGGTAGGCGCCACAAAAATGTCTTAGCGGGATGAGAGGGCGAGCTGGATGCGAAAAGGTGCGCGACGAAGGAAGATACAAGGAAACAATTTCTGACCACCGTATAAAAGGTGATACGAAATAGATTTACTAATACCTTTTGTAAAATCTGAAACAAACTAGTAGGTAATTGCTTTTTTAATAGTAACATTTAAAAAATGTCTTAAGAAAGAATAATATTATGTTTTACCTGTAATTAAAATTGGCCGTCTTATTAATATCTATCATTTCTGAAATTTACAATTTTATTTCTATTTCATTTACTATTATTTTTTTATTTATCTATCTATTTAATTATTTTATTTTATTTATTTTTAGTATATTGTGTCTGCGGATTATGGGCAAAAATTCACTGTATACAATTATTAAACTGATAAATTAGTGATCAATTTACCTACTACTAATAGCATTATTTAATAATATCCAGTAATATTTTAAGACAATTACCTTTTTTAAAAAAAATGTTTATGGCTTTGTAAAATATTTGCATTTGTTCAGTTACTATCAAATTATGTATATTTACTGAAACACAAATTTATACACTGAAAAAAATGTTTATAGCTTTGTAAAATATTTGCATTTGTTCAGTTACTATCAAATTATGTATATTTACTGAAACACAAATTTATATTCTTTAAATTATTTACTACGTCTTTCTTAATGTATTTGTGAAAAATATTCTACAAATTTTATTTTTATTGATTCTAAAAATTATTAACAGTTAGCTTAGATGTAATTATATTTATTTTCTTACATAACTCATAAACAATATTTTTTTTTACAGAGATACATTAGAAATTGTGGATATTTCTATTGTAATATAAGGTTTTGAATTCAATGGTAATTCTATAGCCAGATATTTGTAAATTTTAAAAGAAATAGATATAATAAATAAAATAGATTTGTAAACTATTTTGCATTTGTTCAGTTACTATCAAATTATGTATATTTACTGAAACACAATTTTATATTCTTTAAATTATTTACTACGTCTTTCTTAATGTATTTGTGAAAAATATTCTACAAATTTTATTTTTATAGATTCGTAAGATTTTTAACAGTTATAAACAGTTAACTTAGAAGTAATTATATTTATTTCCTTACATAACTTACGAACAATATTTTTTTTCAGAGATACATTAGAAATTGTGGATATTTCTATTGTAATATAAGGTTTTGAATTCAATGGTAATTCTATATAGCCAGATATTTGTAAATTTTAAAAAGACTTTTGGTAGTAAATATCATTTCAAATACAATGAAAATTTAAAAACAAATCCAGGTCATTTCAATTTGCAAATTCTATGATACAAATTATTATTAACTTTAATTAATCAGCTAAAATTCTATAATTTAGTTCGCAATGACGATTGCGCTTATTAAATTTAATATTTATTTTGATTCGTAATAAATCGTTCAAAAGTATTTAATCAACAAGATAATTCTATATTATCATTATCAATAATAAATTAATTAGTGTGAATAACGGTTAAGTAATACAAAAATTAAATATAATTCGAGCTACCAAAACAATTCTGTATTATCAATATCAATAATAAATTAATTGGTGTAAATAACGTTTAAGTAATACAAAAATTAAATATAAATCGCACTAGCAGTTATAATCTTTAAAAAGTAAAATACTAATTTTAATTAAGTTCCAATATTTAAAATGTATACTAAAATTATTATTAACTTTAATTTAAAAAGTTGATAAAAAACTTATTAATTTTTTTTCGCAAATTAAATTCAATCATTACTTTACTATTCATTATTTTGAATCAGAGATATTTTATAGTCATTAGACATAATATTAAATATCAAGAAAATATTGTGTTATGAATTAATAATGAATTAATTTGTATAAATATCGATAAAAGTAACAAAAAATCTAAACACAAATTGAGACAGCTGTTCTAATTTCTAAAATATATAATGCAATTTATTATTACCTTTATTTAAACAGTTCAGAAAAATCAATAATTTAGTTCACGATAACGATTAATAATTGATTATTAAATTTGATATTTATTTTGAAGCAGAGATATTTTATAGTTGTCAATAATGATATCAATTAGCAACAAAATACGATGTTATAAATTAATTTGTGTAGATGTTGTTTAAAGTAATAAAAAATTCGAACAAAATTCGATCTTTACAATGTAGTACATATTCGACCTTTTCTGATCTTTAAAATGTAGTACAAATTATTATTAACTTTAATTAAACAATTCAGTAAAATCTGTAATTTAGTTTTCGATGAAGATTGCTAACTAGATTTAATGTTCATTTTGAATCAGAGATATTTTATAGTTACCAATA